GTGAGGTAACCTGCCCCAGGCCACATGGTCTCAGATGGGCTGGCTCTGACCATACTATATTCTGCCTGTCTCCGAATCAGATCCAAACCTGCTGGCCCACAGGATCTTGTCCCCACCTCCCTCTGGGACCTCCCATGACACTCCTTGTTCCCCATGCTCCAGCCACTTGGTGAAACCACAGTCCTTGAACTCCTGCCGCAGGGCCTTTGCTCCTGCTATGCCCTGCGGGGAATGCCCTTCCCACAGATGCCCCATGGATGCTCCTGGTCATCACTGAGCTCGGGGAAGGACTCTGGCCACCTGGCTCTAAGCAGCCCAGCCTCCTCCTCCCTGTGGCCCTCATTCACTGTCCTGTGTTATTGTCATGGATGGTGGCAGGGGTGGGGATGGTACTGGGATGAAACTGTTCCATTTCAGATCATCAGACATTAGATTCTCATAAGGAGCGTATAGCATAGACCCTTCACATGTGCAGTTCCCAATAGGGTTTCCATGCCTGTGAGAATCTCATGCCACTGCCGATCTGACAGGAGGCAGAGCCCAGGTGGTCATGCTGGCTCATCCGGGGCTTACCTCCTGCTATGCGGCCTGGTTCCTAACAGGCCTCAGACTGGTACTGGTTTGTGGCCCGGGAGCTGGGGACCCCTGGCCTAGACCACATTACATGTCACAGAAATATGCCCCTGGAGAAATGTAGCATTTATTTTTCAAAAACAATTTAACGAGTGCCTTTCTGTATATGAAATATACCCTGGGTGCCCGTCCTGCCTGGATGCTCACTGCTGTCCCACTTCCTGGTGTGACCAGGCTGGAGGCGGCACTTGCGTGGTGACGCTGTGGGTGATGATGGGGATGGTGTGCTTATCTGTACTGTCACACATAACTAATATGACTATTATAAAGGCAAACAGATGGAGCACGGAGAGCTGCTGGAAGCCCACTTTTTGGATGAGTTATTACCTACTATAGAAGGGAGACTATCGGTTTCTTCCTCCCAACAGATGCCACTCTGCAGGAGAACCAGTGCCGTGAAAAACCAGAGAAAGACAAAGTGGACCTCAAATTCCCCTCCCCGGCTTTGTCTCTTACCACCTGCTAGCTGGGCAAGTCACTTAATCTGGGGAACACCAAAAGATATGACACACATAGTAGCACATCCTCCTGAGCCCACGGCAGACGTGGCTGATCAATCATCGCACCCTTTCCTCGATGAACCAGAAAGAAGGTTCCAGATCTTTCTCAGGACGGCACTCCAGCAAGCTGTTTCCCATCAGCGTTGGCAAAAGAGACACAGCCTATTTGCCATCTGGGATCTCACTGTCCTAAGTTCTGGCTTCTTCGTCTGTAAGATGGGAAATACCACTACCTGCCTCATAGGATCACTGGGGGTTAATTGAGATGATTCATTTGTTCAGTTATTCATTCATGCATTGAATATTTACTGAGTGCCCACAGGGTGCCTATACGTGCCTGATACCTACGGCACTGAATAAATGGCAGCTGTCACAAGTAGAGGCATCTGTTTGCTGCCTTCTGTGCACTGCTGCGGCGGCAGTGCAGCCTCCACGTCCTCACTTCGCCTCTCCCATCCCTCTCCTCTGGCCCAGCTGACGCTTACAGCATCACCAAGTGAGGGGGGAAGGAGCCCGTAAATGCTAGCGTGAGGATTTCACAGGCAGCACATTTCCCAATAAAAGAGACTCCCCTCTTTCTAATCCCTTCCTTTCTTCCGTTCTAAATAAGCCCTGGTTGGATTAGCTGCCCACATTTAACTTTTCTTCTTCAGATTCCCATACACAAAACACTGTATTAACAAGCCACGTCTACCAGGCCAAGCTATATTTCCTCTAAACTCTCATTTTATCTCCTCTAAAACACACAGTAATAGCATCCTCTGGAGAATATTAAATCAAACCAACCTGCAGCTGCATTTGTTTGCGCTTTTCTGCTCCTGGTAAATTCTGGCAACAGATGGGTGTGTGTTACATAAGTGGTGCCCGGCAGGAGCCGCAGTCCTCCACACTCCAGCCTGGGTGGGGAAAGACCTCGGCTCTCAAATCCCTGCAGCCAACAGCTCCCCCACGCACCCGTGACGACACCCCAAGCTCCTGAGGGACTCTTAAGACCCTATGCCATTTTAGACAATTCTATAAGCACAAGGAAGGCTGAACATAGGTTAAAGAACAAAGGCAGGCCCTGGCCAAAAGGGATGAAGCTTATCTTTGTTGTAATCCTGCACATAAAATCTGCTTTCCTTGCCCTGAGATATATATTCAGTGACAGGGCCGAGCTGCAGGGCACAGGCCTGGGCAGCTGGCACTGTTCCATTGCCCATTCCAGAAGAGGGTGCTGATGGCCACCAGCCAGGAAGCACTGAGTGGGACTTGGAATGAGAGGACCCGGCCCCAGATGCTCGCAGTGTGCAGTGACTATGTGGGCTGGGGCTGCATTCCGGGGTCTGAGGGCCAGCCTCTGAGCACACAAGAGGCCAGGGCTGGCAAGTGGAGAAGGCGGGTCTGACAAGCCCAGAGAAATTTCCACAAGTTCCCAATGGCTTGGCCTTCTTTTTTTCAAGTTTAAACTTCAGGTGTTTGTTTAAAAACAAACAAGCAAACAAACAACCTCAAAGATCAGAAATGAGAGAAAGCTCTGGGCAGCACTGTGTGTACACACAGCTGGCCGGGGCTGCCTGTCCTGTTAGTTTCCTGAAGCGCGGTGCCTCACAACTGACAGGTGCTCGGGACGTGATCACTAGGTGGATGGACAGCTGGTGGGTGGCAGAACTAGCAAGAAGCAGCTCAGGAAGGGAGGATCGGAAGGAGGGAAGGAGGGAAGGAGGGAGGGAAGAGGGGAGGACTGCCTCTCTAGGACTAGGTTCCCAGCTCTGCCTCCAACCTGCCATGTGGTCTTGTGCAAGCCACCTAGACTCTCCTATCCTCTCATCTGGATATCAGTAAGGATAACACAGCTGCTTATGGATTATTAGGAACATGAGCTCATTCATTCATTCATTCATTCATCCATTCATTCATTCATCCATCAACCACGTATTTCTCCTTTCACTAGGGCGGGAGTGGAAATGACTCGGGGTGGAGACGTCTCTTAAGGGGTCCATGGTGGCCTGGGAAAGTAGCCATAAATTCCGGTCAGGAGATGGTGGAACATGTTCATGAGGTCCCAGAGAAGTGCAAGGGGCAGGGGGCAGGGGGCAGGGTCGGCTTCCTGGAGAAAGTGACGTCTGGGTTTCCAGGAATATGAGGCAGAGATGGGCATTCTGAGTTGAGTGAGATGTGGGTGTGAGGGGCAGGGATAAAGGTATCACTGCCATGGTCAGGGGGTGGAAAGCCAGGGCAGCCTACATTCTGACAGGAGAGAGGCAGGGCCCAGCGTGAGGGGATTAGGAGGCTCTGATGTCACACTCAGGGGGTTGACCTTGATCCTCTGGGCCAAGGGGAGGCTCTGAGGGTTTGAAGCAGCAATGATGTGTGACTGGATCTCCCTGGAGGCTGCTGGAGACAGACTGGGTTGGGCCTAGGACCAGTGAGAGCGATTAGGAGGCTATGTTCTTTCACACCTCCATGCCCGTGAACAGGCAGGGCCCTCCATCCAGGATACACTTTCTCCTTTCCTGCCTCGGCTGACTGCCATTGTCCTTTGCCATCACAGCTCAGGTGTGTGTTCCTTCAAGAACCTTCCCTGATCTCTCCCAGCCTGAGGCGGGCTCCTTTCTCCACACTACGCACAGTCTGGGGCAGGCTAGCTCAAAAAGAAGAGTTTTGTTTGAATTGCATGGTGGTTTAAAAAGAACTTAAATTAGCTACTGACATTTACAAATAAGGAAGGCTCATGTCAAAACTCAGATATCCAGCTCTCTGGGCATGTTGGGAAGATCTGGCAGAACTGGCTGGTATTCTACAAAGCAACCCTTAGTTGAAGCTGAAAAGTACCCTTCCCTTTCCCTAGGGTATGGGCTTGCCAGTCTGCCAGAGTCCTCACCACTCCCTAATGTCTCTAGCAAGACTGAAGGTGACGCTCCATTCCTATTTATAATCTCACTTGAACGATTGCTTCCCTTACAGATTTGAAAGGAAAGTACAACTCTTGCCCCTATGTCTACCATAAGAGGGGCAGATAGGCCAAGAGAATTCCTGTCCTTCCTCACTATTTAGTTCCCTGATGGAACTATGAGTGCATGAAAAACAGCCCAGAGAAGGAAGGAAAGGGTGTGGGCACAGGCAGCAGCATGAGGGTAGATAGTGTGAGGTTAGAAAGGAGGGTGTGGATCCTGCAACCGGAGGTGGTAGGTCCAAAGGTAGCAAGTTATCTCAATTGATCACAGTCAGTTACAGAACTAACTCCTTTTTCCATTCTATCGCCGCTTCTCATTACTGTACTTGACTAGTCTTTAAAAAAATAAAAAATAGAACCAGAGGGGCACAACAGCCAGAGGTCAAGGGCCTGGCTAGTCACAGTGAGATCCACAGAACAGGAAGACTGGGATGCCTGGGAGCTGGCTGGACCTGCAGAATCTCAGGCCCTGCCCCAGACCTGCTGAATTAGAACCTGCATTTTAGCAAGATCCCACGGATGAGTCAGTGCAAGTTAACATTTGAGAAGTGAAGGCTACGAGAAAGGGCCTGGAGTCCGAATGCAGGCGTTGACATTCTCACTCTGACACTGACTGGCTATGTGACTTGGGGCAAGTTACATAATCTCTCTGTGTCTCTGTTTCCTTATCTGTAAAACTGAGTCTCAGCTTGTATTTTTCCAGTTCCCCCAAGGGTGGCCTGATACCACCTCCCAACGCCAGCAGCCGGAAGCTCTGTCCATGGGGGCTATGAGAATGCAGTGTGAACCTGCCACCAGGCTCCTGCTGCACACGCAAGGCCAGCAGGGCCTCCATGTATCCATTTTGCAACTTTAGGAACCAGGCTATTGGCAAACTGCTAAGCGTTTCCATCAACCCAGTGCCCAGTGGGGAACCAGCGCCTGTTACTTACGCCATCAGCAGTCCAGTAATTCTGAACCTTGATCTTGGCCAGACTGAAGTCCCCCAGCTGTCTTGTGTTTCGAATAACAAAAAACAGCTGGAGAGGCGGGCGGAAGGGGCAGGTCCACGGGGAGGAGTCTTTCTCGTCCTAGAAGGCCAGCAAGAGAGGGAAATCATTAGGCACATTTCTGCCTCTCCCCAAAGTAAAATGGCAGTGGCTCTTTGGCTCACGAAAACCAGGAGAGGCCTGGTGAGGGCTTAGGGCAGGCAGCCAGGCCACCCCATTGCCATCACCCAGGCTGGGGACTCAGATCACCCTGTCTGGACGGCACTTCACAGCAGGCTACTGACCCCGTCCCACCCCCTGCACAAAGCTGCCACACGGACCCCTCTGATCTGCCAACCAGATGGAATTTAAAATGCAGCGGGCTTTATTTTAATCAACTTAATCGGCTTTGAGGAGAGCTCTGGGGGAGGGGAAAGACGCTAGAGAGAAGGACAGGACACTATTTGATTAACCTGGCAAACAGAGCCTTTGATTTTCTTTTGTAAAACACTGCCGAATTTTAAAATTTTTTAAATAGAAAAGAAAGAAAGCCACTGGCTCAGGCGTTGGCTGGGCCAGGGCCAGGGCACTGAGCCCTGGGATTTATTCTGTTCCTTTCTGGGTTTCCAAGCTTGGAGGCTTCAGTTTGCAGACTCCCCCTGACAGAGGCCCCAGGGGCAGGTGAACAGGGACGCCTTGCTGTCATTCTCATTCGCACTGACAAAATTGCATGTCATGAGTGCTTTGGGTGCAGATGGAAAAAGCTAAACTGGGGGACTTTTCTCAGCCCCAGCCGCCTTTTCTTGGCTTTCTGCAATACCTATTCACTCTCCATTGGGACAAAACTCACAGCTGCTCCCAAACGTGTCCACGCTGGCTTGACCTGGTGCCTTGGCACAGGGTGGGCCTCTGCTTGCTTGCAATTCTCGCAGTTCTCTTCCTAAACTTCTCAATCTGGGGAATTCAGCAAATCCAAGTGCCCTTGGCTCCTTGCAGTCCCCGAGCTTGGTGCCTACCTCGGGGTCCCACGATCATCTCTTTTCACATCCATGTCATGCCCTCATTCAGCCGTGAGCTCAAGGGAAGGGGTCGTGTCTAGTTATTCCAGAACCCTAGGCTTTTAGCACAGTTTCTTGGCACATGGAAGATGCCAAAAAAAAAGAAAACACAACTCTTTGTGTAATAAATAAATGACTAAGTGAATGCATAAATGGAGTGTGCCTCCTAACATCTGCCCTTTCATTAAAGCTTTAGGGAGGAGACTGTAGGCCAGGCGCGATGGCTCACATCTCTAATCCCAGCACTTTGGGAAGCAGATGGATCACCTGAGGTCAGGAGTTCAAGACCAGCCTGGCCAACTTGACAAAACCCTGTCTCTACTAATAATACAAAAATTAGTTGGGCGTGGTGGGGCATGCCTGTAATCCCAGCGACTCAGGAGGCTGAGGCAGGAGAATAGCTTGAACTCGTGAGGTGGATGTTGCAGTGAGCCGAGATTGTGTCACTGAACTCCAAACTCCATCTCCAAAAAAAACCCAAAAAACAAACAAACAGAGAACAGACTGTAAGCTTTGTTTGGTTCATGCAATGTTAAAAAAAAAAAAAAACAAACAAACACACACAAATTCATTGCCAACATTTAAAAATGGGGAGATTCAGAGAGGTGCAGTGGCTCATACCTTTAATCCCAGTGATCTGGGAGGCTGAGGCAGGAGGATCGTTTGAGGCCAGGAGTTAGAGACCTGTCTAAGTAATATAGAGAGACCTTGTCTCTACAAAAAAATTTTTTTTAATTAGCAGGGTATGGCAGTATTTGCCTATAGTTCTGGCTACTCGGGAGACTGAAGTGGGCGGATCGCTTGAGCCCAGGAGTTTGGTACCACTGCACTCTAGCCTGGGCAACACAGTGAGACCTTGTCTCTAAGAAAAAAGGAAAAATATGAGGGCCGGGTGCAGTGGCTCACACCTGTAATCCCAGCACTTTGGGAGGCCGAGGAGGGTGGATCATTTGAGGTCAGGAGTTCAAGACTAGCCTGGCCAATGTAGTGAAACCCTGTCTCTACTAAAAGAAAAAAAAAAATACAAAATTTAGCCGGGCATGGTGGCGGGCCTGTAATTCCAGCTACTGGAGAGGCTGAGGCAGGGGAATCACTTGAACCTGGAAGGTGGAGGTTGCAGGAAGCCAAGATCGCACCACTGCACTCCAGCCTGGGTGATGGAGTGAGACTCTGTCTCAAAAATAGGTGGTGGTGGAATGGGGAGATTTCTCCAAACAGCCAGATTTCCGGCACCTCTGCAGACTCAGAAAACATGGCAGCTCAGGAGCCCTGATGGCCGTTTCCTGGAGCCAAGAGTGTGCAGCCCCTGAAGCCCGCCATTCCCCAGGGCTCCACGGTCCCCACCACTCCCTACTGCTTCACATCCACCTCGCTTCCCTCTTCTGCCTCTGCCTGGCCCCTGTAGGCATTGAGTCTGTGGTCCTTGTTTAGGGCAGCAGCAGCAAGTCCCATCTGCCAATAAGCAACCTCCGCGGGCCTGACACTGGCTGACTTGTCCCTTTTATCTCAAAGGGGCATCGCCCTGCATTTGAGAACATCTCGACAGACTCCCCGCCACCAGGAACGTGCCTGCTACTTGACAGAGCCAGGGAGGGAGGATTGGCTGATCTGGGGTTTGATCGGCCCCCAGGAGATGGGAGGCCCAGGCTCCAGCTGCGGTGGAGGACAAAGGGGGCTTGTTTCGGTGACAATGGTGCCTTTCAGGAGGGAGGAGGTGGCTTTTGTTAAGGGGGAACGATGAGTTCAAGGGGTTCTGACTTATTCTGGCAAGTTTCTCCAGCTCTACAAGAACTTCTAGTGCTCTGGGCAGCTGCGAGGGGTCAAGAAACCACATCCCCAAATCCAGCGGGTGAGTCTCATTCCTTTGCTGAGTGGGGGCCTAAAATGGGTCACTGTGGCTGCCTGACAAAGGAAGAGACTGATGGCTGACCCTTAGATGTGGGCTAGGGGACTGTAATTGATTTCCCTTCACATTTCTGTCAGCAGGAGGAGTAACAGGAGGCCTAAGTGGGAATTGTGGTGTTCAAAGTCAAAGAACATTAACCTGAGGATAACTCTGGGCCTCATTAGCACCCCAGCCTTCTGATGTTTTCTCTCCACAGACAGGATCTCAGAGAGAAAGGCTTATGGGAAGCTGCCCAGGACTGACCTGGCACATGCTGGGAAAACCCCTCGGTGCCAGGGCAGGAGGCAGAGCATCTGCGGCTCCTCCCTCCCCATCACAGGGGGTAAGGAATACAGCAGAACGGGAATCGGGCGCCTTCATGCTGCTGTTACTGCCCTTGGTTCTGGCTTCTTTCACTTGGAAACCCCAGGAGGTGGGCATTGCTGTAATGCATGTGCTACTGACCAAAACAGGCCAAAGCTCAGCGAGGGGTGGGATCGCCTAAGGTTGCTCAATGCCTACGTGGTGGAGTGAGGATCTGAACCTCCATCTTTCATGCATTAATTCATTCTGTCTCTGGATTCCCCTGAGGCAGACCCTGAGGCAAGGATCCATGTGTAAGTAGCTTATTTAGACAGAGCAGAAAATATCAATGGGAGAGTGAAGAAGTGAGACAAGGCAGGGAAGGTGGCTCATAAAGGGTATGTTATGAAGACAGCTGCTCCTGTGGGCCACTAGAGCTTAATCCCCCCAGGGAATCTGGAAGCCAGGGTGGAACAGGCGTCAGAGTGACTGCACCAACGGGGCCAGGGAGCTGGGGTATTTATACCCCAACTTCCACCAATGTTGGTTGAGTGCTGCTCCTGGGGGTTCTCTATTTCTCTCTGTATGGGTGGTAAAGTAGGCCCTGGAGGCCAAAAAAAGAATCCTCCAGGAAAGAAATCTCAATGCTGCCATTCAGAAAAGCAGTCAGCATGCCCTGAAGTGCTAGGGCAAAAGGGTGGAAGCAGGCACGGACACATCTACTCCATAACTTGTCCAACAAACACTGTACAGGGTCCCTCCTGGGGGACTGATGCTGAGCCAGACACGGGGCATGTGCAAGGGAACCTGACCCACCAGGTCCTAGTAGCTCTGTGCTATGAGGGAAGGCAAACAGGTAATGTTTCCAAGAAAAAAAAAATCAAGCAGGGACACATTCTAGGAAAAAAATAAGAGAGAATTATTCATGGCCCATGGAACAGCTATTTTAGAAGGGATGGTTAGAGAAGGCTTCTCTGAGGAGGTAACTTTCTAACTCCTAAACCAAACGTGCCTTTTTAACTCCAGCATTAACATAACACTGAATAGTAACCCGCAGGGAGATAGCGTGCTGCCCTCAGAAGTAGCTCCAATTTAATAAATTATTGCATTAAAAAGGAACAAACTATTGACACACACAACAATATGGAAGGATGTCAAGGGCATTACACTGAGTAAAAAAACCTCAGAAAGGTTACCGACTTTAGTAATGATATAAATGCTATATAAACGGTATGATTCCATTTACATAGCATTCTTGAAATGACAAAATGTATGTAGAGGAACAAATCAGTGGTTTCCATTGTCAGGACTGGGCTTGGGGAAGTAGGGCTGTACAGGAGGAGCCCAAGGGAACTCCTCGGTGGTGATGGAACTGGTCTGAATCTCGATGTCTGTATCTTTAGAAAGAAATCTATATATGTGATAAAATTGCATAGAACCATATACATGTACACACAAGTGAGTGTATGAAGGTCTGTACATTATACCAATGTCAAGGTCCTGGTTTTGATTATGTACTACAGTTACATAGGATTTACCACTGGGGGAAACTGGGTAAAGGTGTATAAGATTTCTCTGTTCTTTTTTTTCAAAATGGAGATATAATTCACATAGCATAAAATTCGCCATTTTAAAGCGTTCAGTTCAGTGGTGTTCACAAGGTTCAGTACATTCACAAGGTTGTGCAACCATTACCATTCTCTTCTTCTAGTACATTTTCACCACCCTCAAAAGATACCCATGTTCATTAGCAGTCTCTCCCCATTCCTGCCTCTCCCAGCCCCTGGCAATGACTAATCTACTTTCTGTCTTCAGATTTGCCTATTCTGGACATTTCACATAAATGAAATTATACA